GTGGGTGATTTCTCGCTTTCTGTCTCCCTGTCTCTCTCTGTCTCTCCAGTGAGTCAGTTGAGTGCATGCACCCTGTAGCAAAAATCTCTCTAAATAAAAAAGGAAGAATGAGCCCAAATTGAAATAGTCAACATTTACCATAATGAGGCCTGGCAGTGAGAATGAAGTAAAGGAATGGATGTGGGTTCTGAGTAAAGAGCTCTAGGATTCGGCTCTGATTTGAGTGTAAGACAGGAGGCAGGCAGCATTACAGAAAGGGCTCTGTGATTCAATCTCAAAGTCCAATATGGGTTCGAAGTTCACACCAACCATTTACGAGGAATGTGAGCCTTGGCTTCCTCCTCTCTAAAATGGAGTTTTTAATATCCAGCTTGAAGGAAATAATACATTTAAAGAGCCTGGATATAGTAGGCGCTCAATAAATCATAGCTATTAATACGTTGGGTTGTTGGAAAAGTCATGCCATTTTTTGCATAGAAAAATGTGTCATGACATTTCTGACTTCTATATATAATTTGGGGGGTGGGGGTTGAAAGTTCAATCAGTGATAGCTCTGAGATTATTAGGTGAAATCTGGGTGCTATTTACACAAACACCAAAGTCAAGAAGATTTAGTATTAACAGTGGGGGCCGGATGGTGGCGCAGTGGTAAACAGTTCTCTGCAAGACAATCCCACATCAGAAGGTTCCTAGTTCTAATCTGGAGACCTCCCTAAGTATACCAGGCATACCTGTGGCCATGATTGGGGCTGACTGAAGGCTGGGACTACATCTCAGTGTCACCCGGTTGGCAATGGCTTCTCCCTCTCTCTCAGGGAATAAATAAACTTTAAAAAATTCAAAAAGGAAACAAAGAGTAAGCCAAAAGATTTCCTTTCTTTTGGGGACAGGAAGAGATATTCAGCTGGCTATTGGACTACTTACCCAGAGACCAGCAGGTGGGTGGCATGGTGGTTAAGGTGCTGGACACTCCCACATGACCGACCACAGTCTGGGTCCTGGACCTGGTGACTTGATTTCTCACCTTCTCTCTTTCTCTCTGTGTCTCTCTCTGGCCAAATTAAAAAAAGAGAATGAATAATTAAAGTTAAACAAATAGTTCTTTAAAAAAAGAACTATGTATCCAAAGATATAATTTTTTTAAAATAACAGCATTATTGAGTTATAATTCACATAATATAAAATACATATATAAAAAAATTCACTTTCAGGGACCAGCAGGTGGTGTAATGATTATATCACTGGACTGACTCCTACATAGTTGACCACAGTTCTAGACCTGGACTCGGTAACAAATAGTTCTTTAAAAAAAGAACTATGTATCCAAAGATATAATTTTTTTAAAATAACAGCATTATTGAGTTATAATTCACATAATATAAAATACATATATAAAAAAATTCACTTTCAGGGACCAGCAGGTGGTGTAATGATTATATCACTGGACTGACTCCTACATAGTTGACCACAGTTCTAGACCTGGACTCGGTAACTTAAAACTCATGCCGGACACATTTGTGTGTGTGTACCCAAGATCTCAAGAGGAGACTATAGAAGGGATTGCGGCTTGGCCATGCCCTCCGGGGGGGTGGGGGGAGTAGTTCAC